CTAGAATATTTCACAGCTTTTCTAGGGTTTTTAGGTTTTCTTATGAATAGCTTATTAAAGTCTTCATTTGTATTCAGTTGGTTGATTGATTAATAAAATTCAAGAGCTTTTTAGCTTTTCAGAGAAGAGTATTCTCTAAACCCTAGTTTCGGCAGATCTAGAGAGATCTCAACGAATTCAGGAAGGCATTGATCTTAGACATTCTCATACTAAATAAGATCCTTGCATCTATATAGTTTTCGCTACGTCACCATGTCTCTGGTTTTTTCATTCATAACCTTATTCGTTATTTAAACTTGAAGATGGGGTCGGTTTTCACCTCACTGAAATCACCATAAAATTAGCTAAGTATAGAAAATGGACAAAACCAATACAAGTTTTAGAAAATCGAGCCCTTCAGTTAAACAGCTCAGATCGACTCGGTAACACACTAAACGGCTCGAGTATGTAATGATAAGAATGATATTTGAGTTAATTCTCCAATGGAATTGGAATCATATCATTCGGAGTTATGGTTAGCAAGATAAACCCAATTTACTGAAGACATGTCGATTTGAACTCGTTATAAACGAGCCGTACAGATGAGCTACGACCTGAACTGAAGACATACCGAGCTGAAATGGGGACACAAGGTAGATAATTGAGTCAGCTTTCGTCCAAATGAAGTTTAACTTGTTTGGATCAACGGTTAGAAAGAGACGTATCAATATCGTCGGCAAATGAAGCAAACACAGTTCCAGAGGAATCCGAGCCAAACAAAGACAGAGGGCTCGTGTATGCCTAGCCTAACCATACACATTGGGCTCGGGTACACTGATCCGCGACATAACGAACGGGTTGGGTACATCGACTCGCGACCAAACAAACAACAACTCGGGGCTCCACTAAATACAACTTGGGGTTATCCTCATTAGTCATTACGGCTTGGGGGGTCAACCTCCTCACGGCTCGGGGTCAGATTCCACTCCTGGAGAATCAATTATCGAAATTGGCTAAGTATAAAGAAATGACGATCTGTGACAAGAGAAACATGTTGGATTTCACGAAACCCGCGACCAGACAGACGAGTTGTGTTTCACGAAAGCCGCGACAAGACTAACGGGTTGAGTTTCACGGAACCCGTGACAACTAGACAAGACGGATCCCACTTGTTCTAGATGGCGAAGCAAGCTATATAGAATCCCCATCTAGATCCAGATATCTTCATCCATCAATCTTAGCCTTAGTTAATTCAAGCCCATACCCCTCCTCTAGAAAGTGGTTGGATGATAAGAGCATGAATATCCGTGAGACTTAGTGGATTTCATAAAAAAAATGAATAAAAAATTAATTAAACAAGAGATTTGTGTGTGAGACGTATCACCTCGCCGAGACGATTGAGACGGTATCACCTGGCCACATGGTGACTCCAGATTGGCCAATGAAATTCTGATTTTTTTTGTTTCTAAATAGTAAATATCATTAATGAAAATGAAAATT